TCTTGAACTCCCAAGTTCAAACAATCCACCTCCCTCTCTCTCCCAGAGTGCTAGACTTATAGTTGTGAATCACTACACCCAGCTTGTTTGTTTTTATATTGAAGATAACTATCCTAACACACGGGAGATGACATCTCATTGTGGTTTTAATTTGCATATTCCAGATGTGTAGAGACATTGGACATCTTTTCATAGACTTCTGGGCCATTTCTATGCCATTTAGAGAAATGTTTGTTCCAGATTCTGTGCCCATTTTTTAACTAGGTTATTCATAGTTTAGTATTATTTTGGTTTTCTTCTGTTAAGTTGTACAAATTCCTATACATTTTGGAAATTAGTTCTATATCACATGCATGCTTTGCAGATATTTTTGGCCTTCCTGTGGGCTGCCTACACTTTCCTATCATTTTGTTTGCATCTGTATAGCGAAGTCCATGAAAGCATCCACAAGACCAATTTCTTCCTTATTCTATGTTTTCTTCTAGGAATTTTTACAGTTTTATCTTTTATTTCTAAGTCTTTAAGCCATGTTCAATTGTCTTTCACATATATTGTAAGATAAGGACCCAATTTCACTTTTTTGCATGTGTATATCCAGGTTTACCAAAACTATTTGTTGAAGAGACTATTCATTCTCTATTATGTATTTCTGGTGAGTGCCCTTTGAAAAAATTGGATGGCCATGTATTCTTGGATAGATTTACTTTAAAAAAGCCTCATGTGGTTAGTGACAGCCATATTATGCAGGTCAGATATAAATGGGTTTTTTAGCCTTTATTAGAACTTAAAAATATCTTATGGAAAATAATCCTACCTAATGGCTGATTAGATAATTGTTACTTTCTCCTATGATCTCTTTAATTTCAAATTCAGGAAACAAATTGCTATTTGAATGATCCCCCCTCTGAAGTTAGCTTCATCACCTAATCCGATTATGGAAAATTAATCCTTTTGAAAGTAGCTGCTTTTATTTACTTAATAATTATAATTTTTATTATTTTCAGTATCAAATTATTATGCTCCACCAATAAAAATAAAATAAAAGTTGGCAAAAATCCTCTTTCAGCCGGCACATAATCTTATCACTGTTATTTGTGGTATGCAACAGGAAATCATTCATGACTTCAGAGACATGTGATGCACCTGAACTACCTACTTCCACATCAAATGCCTTTCAAAGCAAGCTTCTGTTCGGGATGCAATTCATCACAGTTATCCCAGGTCTCCACGTTTCACAGGGGAACATGACATGACACGGTGTAATTAAAGGAACGCAATGTGGTGGCTCGCATTAGAAAGAAAGGACGTATTTTCCAGATCAGCTGATAGGTCTTCACTCCAGCTGCCACAGAGAGGCTCGGAAGCTTTTGCGATGAAAGCTGGCCAATCTTGTGTGTTCAAACGTACAAGGTCTTTACATTTCTGCCCATTTCTATTAAATGCCAAGTCAACCACTGTCGGAGAGTGTTACAGACCTCCTCCCTCAAGCTGTGATCTTGTCAGATCTCATAAGCCAAACAGGGCTGGGGCAGGGTGAATACTTGGATTAGATACTTATTAGGGGAAAATAAAGGTAGTCTGGGTTGAGGCCAGGGAGCTGTTTCACCTCCCCAGTCCAAATGGGCTCACCTTATGTCTAGTACATTCCTGTCCTAGTACCTTGGCCTATGGGCCTAGACTGGACATGTGCTTGGGGGTCACACGTTGCACTCTCTCTCCTGAAGTTGGGGAGAGTCTTGTCTTGCTTTCCTGGCTCTATTCCAGTTCAGCTAATTGCTTCTTCTTGCTTTAAATCCCCCCTGCAGTGTCTATTGAAGGCTGTCTTCTTCATTTATGATTCTAAACTGTTGTGCCATGTTGCTGTGTGCTGGCAAGCAGCTGTTGCTCTCTGTTCCAGCTGTGGCAGAGTTTTTGTAGTGGCCGGAGTGGATTTTACACATGCCATACCCAATTGAGGAGAGAGACATCGTTGTAAAGTCCTGGAGCTCATCCCAGTGATGCATGCCATTTCGGTGAAAAATTATTCTATATAATCATATAGATGCAAATGCAGATCTATACTCCCACAGTCTAGACTTGTTAGCTCACTACCATCTGTCTGAGACAAATTCTCAAAAGGAAACCAGGGTGGTGAGGCAAAGTGTGGGCTGGAAATTGTGAAATTGGAAACCCTTATTTTCATGATTTTTATTCTTTTTTGGTTTAGCAAGAAAATTCTAATTTAAATCAGTTATTGAAAAAACTTACCAATGTCAGTTTACAGAATTTTTAAAATATTATTTTGCTGTTTCTTGATTTTAAAAAGGGGATACAAATTTGCCACCAGTGAATACCACTTGTAACATGCCAAAGGTGGCACAGCACAAAGCATTTGGCTTGGAAACATATGTGAAGACCTGGAAAATCACTTGAAATGATTCTTTTTTGTTTGTTTGTTTGTTTTTTGACAAAGATATTCCTTAGCCCCTTTTCCACTCCCTTCTATACCCCAGCCCCACAATAATCATCAAATTTTTATAATTAGAAATTTTCTACTCTGATAGCTTTCACCCTGATCTGTACTTCATTGCTCCCCTCAAAGCACCTCTTGTCCCAAGGCAACTTGTTTAGCAATACACATTTCCTATTTTAAAACTCTTACTTTCTCATTAATAAGGAACTACTTTAGTTTAAGAGGAAATAGCATGTTTAAAACAATTTCTACTATAATAAGCCTAACTGTTCACATCTGCTTGGTTTGCGGTCCTTTCATTTAGTTCAACACAGACCCCTGCTGCAGCTACTTAATCACTTTCTCTTTTGTTCCAAATATACTATCCATCCGATACAATCTTCACCAAACCTTGAAATGTGGGTGTATGATGCCTCATTGCAGTTACATGTTAAGTAGTTTAGGCTTGAGATTCAATTTCCTTGGCTTCTGAGTGAGTTTCCACTTGTTAAGGCTGGGTTTGGTTGACTCATGCAACTCTTCTCATATTAAGAAGACAGTTTCTTACTGCAGAAATCTGCCTTTGGCACTAAGAAAGTCCTCCCTGCTAGCTTCTTATTAAAGAATGAAGCAAAGTGGGTAGGAAAGAGAGGGGGAGAAGAATAGACTCAGAATTGCTTTGATTCCCTGTACATGTTTATATTTTATTTGGAAGAGGTGGTTTCTACTAAAAGTCAGAAAACCTGCCTTCTGATACTGATACAAAATTTTTATTTCTTTTCTGTCTTTTGGTGAGCCAATTATCCCTTTAATTGAAGAAATGGTGTTAGAATTAGAGACTTTAAAATTTGGAATTAGTAGAGATTATATGATAATAATTTCTACTCCATGAAGAAATCTGGGAGCCATACCCAAAAGAGATTCCTATCCAGATTCCCATTATATTTCTGATGATCAGTCAGAAAGATAATGGTTTCCATGCCCTCCATTTTCAAGACACACGGTCAGTTGTTTCCTTCTTTCTTTGCAATTAGATAAGCAGGCGTCCAATGACCCCCTCCTTCAGGTATGTCACACAAAGTGTTGGAATTTCTCTCCATCTGAAGACATGGAAAGTCTATGAGGAACTATATACTTGTGTGCATTGATAGTTATTTGACAGTGCCACTCACAAATTAGAAAATCACAAAACCCTAAAGTTGTAATAGCCTTTAACATGCTATTTGGTGGCCAGGCACTCTGGCTCACACCTGTAATCCTAGCACTCTGAGCGGCCGAAGCAGGTATAATGCTTGAGCTCCAGAGTTTGAGTCCAGTTTGAGCTAGAGTGAGACGCCTCATCTCTACTAAAAATAGAAAAAAACAAAACAAAAAACAGCTGAGCATTGTGGTACATGCCTGTGAGGCTGAGGCAAGAGGATTGCTCAAGTCCAAGAATTTGAGGTTGCTGTAAGCTAACATGCCATGACACTCTATCCAGGGTGACAGTGAGACTCTGTCTCAAAAATAAATAAATACATACATACATACATACATACATAAAATGCTATTTGGGTCAGAATCCTTAAAAGGTGTGTATGTTTTTCATAGTCATGTTTTCTTTATTAATAAAGAATCTTCTGGGCAGCTCCTGTGGCTCAAGGAGTAGGGTGCCAGCCCCATATACCAGGGAGGCAAGTTCAAACCTGGCCTTGGCCAAAAAAAACTGGAAAAAAATATAAAATAAAATAAAGTAAAGGATGTTCTTTTTTTTTTTTTTTCTCTAGTTTTTGACTGGGGCTGGGTTTGAACCCATTACCTCTGGGGCCAGTGCCTTAGTCCTTTGAGCCATAGGCACCGCCCAAGGATGTTCTGATTATCAGGATGTCTTACCAACATGAAATAAAGAGTATGCTGGTATCATGTTTCTTGAAACTGATAGACAGAACTTTATGCACAATTTTTTGTAATTATTTTTCTTTTTGAAAATAGAAGATCATCAGGCATAGAAATTGCAAGTGCTAAAAAAGACACAGCTCTGAGGTAGTGTTTCCATTTCACAACAAGGATGTGTAGCTATGAGTAAGAGCAAATGGGAAAAATGTTTGAATGGTCTCATTTTATTTTAACTACCTGCGGATCAGGTGGTTATGATGTTGTGACCTAATTAGCATTCTATTAAACCAGAGTGGTGAGAGATGACCCAAGCTCACTGCACTTTTGAGAAGCTAAACTTAATTCTCCAAACCCTTCACACTATTTGGCTTTGGCCATTTTGATTTGTACCCAAGTTTGAATACCCACTTTTGAATCAGAATGAAAATCTCTCACTCTCCTTTCTGGGGTGGACCCTCTCCATGGCCTCACGATGAAATTACCTTATTTATGTGACTGCTCAAAAGGTCTGAGAGATCTACATTTTCCCTCTGCCAGCCAATTCTACTAATTTTTTAAGACCTAGTTTTTTCATGTATTTTCATTTGTCCTCACCTGTACAGACTGTTCTCTTTTACTTCTGAAATCCTATAGAGATTTATAGAGATACTTAGTCTTGAAGTTGAGTTTCTCTGACATGTTATTTTCCTTTTAGCATATGCTCTTCAAGGACAACACCTATGGAGTATGAGTATGAATGCTTATTACCATGGTCAACATCATTATCAAGGTAAACTTACAGAAAGTACTCAGGAAATGGTTGCCACATAAAGGCTACAGGTTTCATTCACTTATCTGTCTTCTGAACAAAAACTAAAGGAATACCCAAAATGTGGAAAAGACATTAAATGTATATTCTAAACAGAAAATGCACTTGTTTTGTTCAATATAACTATATTCCACATTTGATGATATCTGGAAAGGCATAGCATGGTCTTTAAATACTTTGGGTGAGCATTTAATGAATATTTGCCCCAGTCATTGAGAGAAATGATCCCCCAGTATCTGAGTGGTATATTTCTTTGTGGATTAGGCTCTCTGTTTAATCACTTTCCAACAGCCTCTTCTATTCACCTGTCCACTTGATCTACATTAATTATTTTAAGGGACATCCTTGTTAAGTGAAATTGTTTTTCCTAGCCAGACTATAAATAGCCTCTACCTTATTCCTCATTTATCTCTGTGGAGATCACATTGGCTGCATTTATAAGGAAAGAAAACCATGACTTGGCCAAGATACAGGAAGCAGCCCTCTCCAGAGGCAAAAGAATTTCACAGTTATTGGAAAGACACAGCTTATTTTTTTCTTGACAACACACCCAGGACAGGGCATCAGCTTTTTTTTCAAGTGTGAAAGTTTGCTTTTGTAGTGTCCTTTCTTGGCTAGCCTAGGAGAAAGCAAAGGAGAAACACAGTAATAATAATAAAAACAACAGCAGGAATAACTAAAATTACTAAAATCACATCTTTTGTCACCTTCATTCATACACACACATAGTATAATTCAAGAGTAATGTTCATTTTGCAAGGGAAGAACTAAAGTGAAGAAATTTACCGTGATTATATATAAAAGCGTTCGAGTTATTTAACTTCTCAATATCTCAAGTGTAATAAAGGAACCAACAGCTGAAAGGGAGATGAAGTTCAGTGCAAAATATGCCCAAGGGTTTCTAGCTCATATTAATGCTGTTTCTGCTAAAACATTAAGAGCCCTTATGTCAATCAAGACTCAGTGATACTACAGTAGCAAACAACTCCACCACTTCAGTAGTTTCAAAAAGCACACTTTTTTGAGTTCCCACACTATGTCCTACCTGTGGTCAGTAGGGCAATGTACTTCATGTCATCTTCAGACTGCTATTGACTAGCCAATATAAGACACCTGGCCTCACCTAAATTCAGGCATGCAGACAATTGCAGTCCTGCCATGTTCCCAAATGCAGAGTAACAGCAGCAAACAAATTGGTCAAATAGCAGGAATGACTTCCATGAATGATCTTTTTTTACTATTAAACATCCATTTACAGTTTTCTCCCTGTATATTTTGCCTGTACAGAAGAAACCAAGCTTAAAGTTCCATTTGGTCAATCTCAAATCCAAGGAGTATTTGAAGATGCTGAGAAGTCTTTATATTAGGTTTCAATATGGTTACTCCAGATCCAGACAATTCTGAGGTAAAAATTGCCTCTTTGTCTGAACATTATATTGACTACACAGAAGATGACCACCAAAAAATCAATAAGGTTGTCGCTTTTTCTTGTTAAAACAATTCTGCTGCCAAGCTGGTTACTTCACTGATCTTAATTAACAATTGAATTCTGTGGGCCAATAGGCAGTCTACTTGGTGATGCAGTAATTAGCTATTATGACCCTTGGGAAGATGCCCTGAACAACATTGTTCCACAATGTGTGTGTGTGTGTGTGTGTGTGTGTGTGTTTGTGTATGTGTGTGTGAGAGTACTAGTGTCATCAGTGGAGGACAGGTAGGATGATTGGAAATTAATTGAACTATTTCTAACCTTATTCACATTTATCATGTAAGTTTTAGAAATTCAGAGGCAGGCTTGGTGCCTGTGGCTCAAGCGGCTAAGGCGCCAGCCACATACACCTAGGGTGGCGGGTTCGAATCCCCAGCCCAGGCCCCCCAAACAACGATGGCTGCAACCAAAAAATGGCCAGACGCTGTGGCAGGCGCCTGTAGTCCCAGCTACTTGGGAGGCTGAGGCAGGATACTCGCTTGAGCCCAGGAGTTGGAGGTTGCTGTGAGCGTGATGCCATGGCACTCTACCCAGGGGGATAGCTTGAGGCTCTGTCTCAAAAAAAAAAAAAAAAAAAAAAAGAAATTCAGAGGCAGTAACTGGAATTATTGATTGGGACTACTCTCCACCATTTGATGTCACTACTCCCATTCTTGCTTATTTTCTCAACTTCTGTGATCTCAGGTTTTATTCTTCAGCTCTTTTTACATTCCTTCTATATATTGCAAGTAAAATTTCAAAGTGAAACAGAGCCTAGGATTTTCCTATTAATAAAAGCTCAGACTAACTATCATTTCATAGGTTTATTTCAAAGAAGTGGAAGCTCCTATATTAGTTAAAATTCTTTCAGAAGCAAACAACCGATTCTTGACTCAAACAGGGATATATTTTTAAAAGGCATATATCAGCTATTGGTCTGTATCAAACCACATCCAAAACTCTGTGGCTTAAAACAACAATAATTTATTTTCATTTAAGAATATATGGGTCTGCTGATCTCAACTGAACAGCTCAGCTTTAAGCTACAGATATAGCTGAGCTTGGCTTCTTACTGTGGGTTGGGCTTATGTCTGGTACATATATATAAATTATAAAGTCTAGGTTGAAAGGATAAGTGGCACTTTTCATGGTGATAAAAGAAGCACCAGAGGACAAACCCAATGGAGCAAATACCCTTCAAGCCATTGTTTACATCACATTTGTTAACATCCCATTGGCAAAGCAAGTCACAGGGATTAACTCACCATCAAAGGAGAGGGGAAGTAAACCTCTCTCGTGGAGGTGGCAGAAGGGGAAAAAAGTACTTTTGAACAGCAATCTAATCTCCCTGAAAGGACATTGTGATGGTTCATGTATCATGGCATTCCAAGGGCAGTAAATCAGACTGTGTGCACAGAACGATGCGGGTCAGATCATTGCCTTCCTCTCCCTCTCTTGCTCTCAGTCTGTCCATCTCCCTTCTCTGATCCCTTGGTATGTTGATTTTATTCTCTGGAAGATTTCCTAGCATGACTAAAAATACAGCTGCTGGTAATTTGAGAACTATTTTTTATATGCTGTTATCCAAATGGACAAAGGACTTTTCCTCTCCCAGAAGGCACCTTTCACACTGAAGAGAAGATTCTGATTAGTTTAGCCAGGGGGAAGGGGGTCAATGCCCAGACCACATTAATTGGAAAGGTCAGAAGAATGTTGTGTGTGATTAACAAACCAAAATTAGCCCGTGTGTTGAAAGAATGGGGCATAAGATTTGATCATCCCAGTAGGATCATGTGGATTTGGGATGAGATGGTACCATCTAGACCAAGTGGGTGCTTGTTACCTGCAAAAGAAGTGATTAGTGAAGAGAGACAATAGCAATGGATGTATATTGCAGTAATCATGTGTAAATTAATAAGCACACAACATACATACAGTAATAAGCACATGATTCTACAAAAATATACAGCTGTGGATTGCAGTTTGGTGGAATGTACCCATTTACAAGTGTTTCAATTAACCCTTTGTCTGGTTGACAGAGACAAAGACCATTCTTTGTATTCTAGAGCTCACAGGTGACTTAGTCCTTTAAGAGTCACATAAAAAAAAAAAAAAAAAAGAGTCACATAAAAAGTGATTATTTCTACTTTCCCTTTAGATATTCATGGAAAATAGTATTTATGTTTTAATTTCAATGTTCATAGTGAGATTCTAATACGATTCTTTAGTTGCCAGGGATCCAAGACAATGTAATGTAGCATTTCACTTAAAGAGAAGGAAAGGGGAGGGGCATTGAGATAACAAGTGACTTTCCCAAAGTCATAGACATCAACAGGACCTAGCCAGATCAGACCATGTAAGTCAGAATAAGTCAGTGAAAAGGGGAAAGAAACTAACTTAGCATTAAATTTAACCAGCCCATTGTCTTAATAGTTCATATTACTAGAAGAATGGGAAGTCTCCTCTGCATTCCATAATCTACAGAAGCAAGCTACTCCTTTTTAGGCCACGTTCCAGTGAGACAGGACTGGTACAGGGATCCCAAGTTTCATTTCAGAGACTGACAGAGCTACTGAAATGAACACCTTGCTGTTCCATGCACAGTTGTAAACAAGTTCCCCTTTCTGGAGCTCTCCTGAATCCATCAGGCAGAGGCATGCACCGGGTTGGCTCTTAACAATATTAACTTCAATCTTTGATTTCATGATTTATCTTCTGTGAGATATTTTGGGATAGTAGGTCAATGGAAGATATGCAAAATAGAGGGTCAAAAAGAAGAATAATGAAGTTTAGTCAAAGGAGTATTTGTATTTGAGTGAGGAAATCACACTGGTGGACATCACAATGGAATCTATTTCCTCTCTGGGAGGTGAGGCGTAATACCATCTGTGTGGCATACGTGTGCCCACCTGAAACCTTTTAAAGAACAAGAGGGAAAACAAAGACTTTTAGTTCAGTTCAGTGCTAACTGAATTGTGCTCTGTTCTTTCTCACTTTGGCCAGAGCCAATTTAAGCAGATCTTCATTTTCTTCTCATGCTCCATTTCCACCAAATGTCTTTTTAGTTCAGATAAAGCCTCTCTCAGCCAGACTTTACTTCTGTCTTGCACTGGCATAATTACAGAAAATTGCACTGTTTGCTCAATTTTTGCAAATTGAGCTAATGCAAAACTATGTAAATTATTTACCAAAAAGAAGCAAAATCAAACAAGTAAATGGGTTTGCGCTACACATTAAGGGAGCAGAGTGGCGCAGCCGCATCTTGGTTACAGAACCACTTGAATAACTCAGTCCAGGGCTGTATGGTGGGAATGCCCTCGCTTGGCTCTGATGAGCAGTGGAAGGTGTGGCCCTTCCACATCCCTGAAACCCTAATCTCTTTTTTCCCCAACTTTTGAGCCAGCTGGAGGGTTTAGAGAGATCAATATTTTACAGTCTGGTTAAGCCAAAGTTCTCCTGTGGCTTGGCTGCCGTCTCATTCTTTCTTTTCCCCTTTTTATCGTCCTTTCTCTTCTTTTCTTCCCTACCCTCCTCCTTTATTATAAAGAAGTTGGCATTTTTGAACAATGGTGAACTAAGGATCCAACTTGTAATGCCATGTTTTTATTTTGATTTGTTTTGTGTTGTTGTTGTCTGTCAGGCCATTATAGTGGATCACTGTAAACTCCATCAGATTTGAAAGATTAGCTTTCTAACTGTGCAGTCAGGACAAAGCCTAACAAGGGTCTTTGCAGCAGTGAGTATCCTATTCGCACACCTAAACTCTAAAACATCCTGACACCCCCTAAATCAGCACTTCTCATTGTCTCCATAACTCCCTTCTGTTCTGATGACTGCTGGTATCCCACACTTAACTTTGGCAAGGCAGTGGAGAGTCAGGAAGAGATTTGAGAACTGAGTTTAGAAGCAGATGTTTTATCTGTATTCCTTTGGCTTTAGCTTTTTACCTTCGTACTGGTTGTGGGAAGAGAAACTTCAATTCAGCTTAGTTCAGTTTGCTGCATCTTTCTAGAGTTCTTCTAAATGTCATGTGATGGGAAAAAATAAATATAAGAGAAAAAGCCCAAATGGCATGAGTAATAATGGTACATATGGTAATAATATAATGGTCTGGATTACATGTGGTCTAGGGGTAAAAAAAAGGAATGGGTTGACATAGACTCACGGCTTCTAGTAATTAAAAAAACTCACAATCATACAGTTGCCACTCAGCATGTACTATATAAAGCATACTCTGGTGAAGAAGGCAAATGCAGTTTTTTCATGAAGCACATATGGAAGTAAAAAGACCTGAATTTGAATTTGAATAAAGGGTAAGGTTGAGTAATTTTAATAGAGGTTTAAGGATATTACTAGGAGCGACAATAGTATAATGGAAGATAATGGAATATGAGGGGATTTTTCAGGAACGATGAGTAGAAAGGTCTTCATGGGAAAATAAAATGAATTACCTTGTGTATATGGGTCGCACACACATTCACATTCAAACTCATACATGCACCTGATTGTGTACCTGTATTTATGTTTGTGACTGAGTGTGTAGAAGGCTTGGAATATTATTTAAGAGCGCAATTGATCTGATTAATTGTTATGTTAGGAAAACTGATCTTATGAAATCTTCATTTGATTTTAGTGTTTTCTTCAGGGTCTGGTTGGTTATAGTTTTTTCCTATTGCTACAAAATTAGCAGCATTGATTCTCAGCTCCTTTTTGAACTTTATGTGACATGAAAATGACACAACTTAAGATCTTTTGGTATATTTTTGTGCCAGAGATGGTTTTCCTTCTTTCTTGTCTACTTAACATATTCATAGAAATAAAAATATTTAAAAAACATAAATTCTACTGAACCACTTCCTCTGCTACAAAAGTAGACTACAAATAAAAAAGTTCAATTAATTCATCATATTCAATTTGATTCTATTCAATTTGAAAGCTTGTGGTAAAATGATCAATATTTTAAATAGTTACTACAATTATTTTAATAGTTGATATAGAAGATATCCTGCTTTGAGATTGGTTTTAATTAGTTTGAAAGTGGCATTTATATCTGAGATGTTGAGACTATATACCCCCTAAGTACATGGACCAGAACTTCTTTAAGGAAAACAATGACAATATCTAATAAAATAAACAAACAAACAAAAAAATAAATAAACAGTGATTTGTTTGAAACCAATCACCTCAGTATCAACATTAGCATTCTCCTTTTAGAGATAATGTTTGTTTTGCTTAATTTTTGCTTTACTGTTACTGGTTCTATTGTTTTATCCTTGATATTTCTTGGTCCGAATCACCTTTGTGAATTTGTGTTCTTCATTTTTCTTATTTTTCCCCAAGCACGTCCCCCAAACAGCCTCAGGGACTATCCTAGCTTCAACTCCCAACTCCTAGGAGATGATATACAAATCTCCTAACTTATTCCAGTCAGTCCAGTTTCCTGCATTCCATTTCCTCTTTCAATCTGCCATCTGGATGCTTCCCACCTACAAGACTTCAGATGAAATTGTTCTTGCAATGATTTTTCTTCCTGTTTTTCACCTTCAGGTTAATGGAAGCACCACTCTTTTAATATTTGACATTTGGTGCCTTCTTCTTTTATGTCATGTTAAATCGAGGTCATTTAAGAATCTTCCTTTACATTGTTTTTGATGCTGATGTTCACACTCAATGTATGTGATTCCCAGGCTGCACTTCTACTTCAGATCCTCAGCATCCTTTGCCTGCTGTAGATTTTGATCCCTCTGCACTGTGCAGTGAGCCCATTCCACCCATAGCCTTGTAAGGCACAGTTCTAAGAAAAGACTCCACCCCAATCCATTGGTCAATGACTGATGATGCAACAGACCTAGGTGGCTGTGGTTGTTAGAAAGTTTAGAACTAAATTGGGAAACATCTCTCACAAATTTCTGGGGGTTATATCGTGCATTATAAATATCACATTTATTTTCGTTTCACTTATTCTACTTTTACTTTCCTGTTTAAATAATCTCCATCTCCTTTTGAATTTTTAAATTTTATCTAATCATATTTTATACATTTTTGGAAGTTTTTATGGATCAGATACTCTAGTCATCGAATGCCTTGCAATATACCACACCAAATGTTTTAGCATTAAACACAAGCTGTCATTTATTATTATGTCTCACAGTTTTGGGAGGTGAATGACTAGAACCAGTTAGGCAGTTCTTATTCAGGGTGTCTCACACAGTTGCAGACAGTCATAGATGCTGGTACTGTCTTTGAGTCATTCTTCCCCACAGAGTTGTCATCTGTGCATATGGCTGGTAGAGGAATACCTGGAGCCCCTCAAGTCCCCATCCTTATTTCTATGTGGTTTCTCCAACATGGCAGATTCAGGATAGCTAGCCTTACTGTAGCAGGGCACAAGGCTTTAAAAGTGCATATCCTGGAAGAGAGTCAAGCAGAATCTGTATCACCTTTTATAACCTAAACTTGGAAGTCACATGGTTCAACTTCTGCACCATCCTTTTAGCAGAGGCAGACACAAGGCAACTCAATTGTTAGAAGAAGAGATGTGGACTTGATGGAGGGAGTGGCAAGGTTCTGCAAGGCCATATGATGTAAGATACTTTTGTATCCACTGGTGGCAAATACAATGTTCTGTAGTAGGCTAAGGTATAATATATGTTAAAGTATTTAAAAATTAATTTATCTTGCCACCTCTAGTATTTGCCACCTGCAAACCCAGCCTGGTAAAGATTATTCTCCCTATATCATAGCACTTATCCTATACCACTCTTCCAGTCAATAGATAACCATTCCTACTTTTGTAGTATTATTAATTTGTGTCCTGTGATCAAAAGGATCCTGTGGTCAAAAAGTGTTAAAACATTGAGATAAATTTCTGCACAACTGGGACTTGGAAGCATGCATTGTGACTGTTAAAGAAGGACAGATATGACACAGGAGACTTTCACAATGGGCATAGAACTCTTTTGTTCAGAGACTCTATCAGTATTTTTCGTCACTTGTATTCTTTAAGATGCACCATGGAAAGTTTTAAACTATATAACCCTGTCATAGCAACTTATATACAGAATAATTGTACAATACTTTATCTAAACCACAGAATTTTGAGGGATCAGAGTTTGCTATTGATAAACAGATGTTAACGGTTCCAGACACCCCAGTATAAGAGTCACTCTACTTAGGTGGCATTACAGGCTTTCCGTGCCAAGGCCTAATTAACCTCACAACCTCACAACCTTCTATTCTCTGTACCTTTGTATTTGCTCAACCCCATAATACTTCTACTTCCATTGAGAACCTTTACAAGTTGTCCAGGGAAATGTAGAAACCCTTCAATGAGCCATGATAAGACTTTCCCAAGGCAAACTCTGTTTTGGTCTGTATAGCAGCTACCTGTATCCATGATTCCTCTTTTGGTGGGTGTTCAAACCTTTTTCTTCTATGCTATATGGGAAGAAGTAGGGTTGTATTGGGCCACAGATTAAATATGCAGACAATAATGAAAGCTGATGAGCATAAACAAGGTTCATGCACAATTTTTGTTTTATCTGACAAAAATTTCTTTGTAATAAGCAATATCATCCTCACATAACCTACATGTGGCCCATCACTACTGGTTAGACATCCCTCCATGTGAGATGCATGTGTGTTGGGTTAATGTTTCACTGTATTCAAACTGATAAGCATCAAACTCTATCATATGCAACCCACAGAGAGAGATGCATTTCTCTCTTACTCAAACATTATAGAAGATGTGATACTCAAATATAATTAATTAACAGTGGTTTAGAGGACTCTTATAAATATCAGCTTTTTCTAATGCTAGATACCAATGGAGATTTGAATGAAGACATTTCCAAATCTTTGAAGAGGGAAGAGAGAACCACAGTGTGATGCAATGAGCTCAAATATGTGCAGGTGTTCAAAGGAACCAATAAATGCAAAAAAAAAAAAAAAAGCTGTTGCTATTATGATGATGATTGACATAAAAATTTATAAGAATATATTGAAATGATGACAGCCTTGATTTCCAGGAAAGGTAAGGAAAAATGACAAGGGTGGACTGGAGCATTCAGAAGTGGGGTGGGAAAGACAGGATGAACTTGGATTAGACAGCACTTTCATTTTCTACTTCTCCTTAATTGTCTCAATCATACTGCCTTCCTTAAAGATAGCTGTTGGTTTGTAATTGGAAAAGAAGAATATAGAGCTCAAAGATACCCTCTACTCAACAGGAACTGCAAGAAAATTGAAGGGAAGAAATGTTTTTCTACTTTTATATTTTCCCACAAAACATTAGGCAACTAACATGTTTAGTTCACATATGGCTCACAGTTTTCTCCTCACGCTCTTGGGTCTATCTATCAAACGTAGGGTCTTGAAATTGAGCCCACCTTTGAGAAAGAGTTAGGAAAATGGGAAGATATGAGAGGTTGGGATGCCCAATGGAGATGGTGTGAGAGGATGCCAGAAAGTGATAAAAACTAGAAAAGGACACAGAAAAATGACCTACATAATTAAGTTGATTTCAAGGCTGTAAGGATAGCGTGTGCCGGGTGGTCTGGACATCTGACAGGGACAATACACATGTGAGCAAAGCAGGAGAGAAGCTTGAAGCCAAAGAAATGAAGTTTGTATTTTCAAAAGGATATCAGGGATTTAGCTTGAGGGAAAGAATGACCTGATTACTGGAGAGCAGGAAGAGTTTCCTTGTCAGAAGCTTTCTCAATTAAATGCAAACAAAAGCTATGAGAAAAATTTGTCACAGGAATCTTTTGTGCAAAGGACATTGAGCAAGGTTTTGAATGACAGATTTACTAACTCTATTTACAGACAGAAAAATTTTAAAATTAACTTGTGATCATTTATTTATCTTCATCTTAATATAAAATCAAGAACTAATTGTGAAAGCTTCAATTTATGCATACAAATTTATAAAAAATATAAATGACTATAAGAAAAAAAACTATTACTACCACCCAAATTCCCATGCACCTCTTCTTCAGTCATTCAAGTTCCACTTCTAATCCAGCCACCCTGGACACTGGACCCACAGTTCAGTAGGGAAGCCCGGCATTTGTGGCACACAAAGGTGTTCACATTCCAAAAGCTCAATCTTCTTTCCATTTCTCTTATCGCTCAAGTCAACTCCATCAGCAATTTAATCCATTTCTGCTTTTCTGCTATTAGAGTTACCAAATATAAGAAGATAACTCACAAATGCATGACTTCAAGTGATATATCTCTAACCCCCAGGTGTGTTCAGCCATCTTCTCACCTGGCATCTTCTCCTAAATATTTCAAAGACTTTTAAACTCAATATTGCTAAAGTTAAACTGGATAAAATCATCTTATATGATTTCTTACATCTGCAACTGGCACCACTGTCTATCCAATTTATGTAATCTGGAAATGAGGAATACCCTGACACTAATGCTACATGTTTTATTCCAAATCTTACCCGCATTACTGTCTAAAAATCCTTTGACCCCATTTGCCTCTTCCTACACACTTTTACAACTTCCATTCACTGTAAAGTCTTTTCTTTCTATAACTTTTACATTAGCTAGTTGACTGATGTAGCTTTATTTTTTTTCTTCTCCATAGTTTAGGCAGTATTATTTTCTTTCTTTCTTTCTTTCTTTTTTTGGCCGAGGCTGGGTTTGAACCTACCAGCCCTAGCATATGGGACCAGCGCCCTACTCCTTTGAGCCACAGGTGCCACCCGCCAGTATTATTTTCAAAATGAAAATTAGTATCATGTCCTTCTTTAGCTTAAAATCATTCAAATCCCGTTGTTCTTAAACTCTACTTGATATTTCTTAACTTGGCCTTCAGGACCTAGTATGATCCGATTTTTATCTTCTTCTTCAGCTTTATCTTACAGGTTGACCCATCCCTCTCTTCCTGTTCTAGTCACTCCTGTCTCCTCTTAGTGTTTCTCAGACTTCATGCTGAAACCGCTCTTGCATCTCAATGATGGTACATCCTCTTGCCTCCAACATGAAATGTGCTTTTCTCTTATCAGTCATTACTCTTTATAACTGCTCAATTGTCATTTCTTCAGGTAGGTGTCCCTACCCTTCCTGACAACAGTCAAAGACTCCTACCTTTTCTGGAATCATTCATTTCAATTTTAGAGGATTGTGATTGTTGCAGTTTTATATTGGTTTGTGTGGTTGATAAAAAATGAGAGCAAGACTTTGCTTTGTTCACAATTGCCTTCTTTGGACTGCAGCTTATGCTTGGAACATACAAAGCTTTCATTAAAGACTTGTTAGATGAATAAATGTATCAATAAATGAATCAAAAGGTCTCTGGTAGCTCAGATGAATGGGAGTATCATAACTTATTGTCCTCACCAGAAATACGGCAGAGAGCTCACTCAATATGTATGATATTAGCACAGAAATGCAATTAACTGTTGTGTTTCTTTTTCAGTAAACTTCAAAAGACTGTATTATTCCAGTGAGGATCTTCCTGATGGCCAAGGTGAGGATGTAACTAAGGGGCTTGGACTGTTTTAAGCTATGTTATGAAAACTTGGAGGGAGGAAGCAATAAAAGAACGAAATGCAGCAGGCCAGAGCCAGTTGGCAGTACTGAGGGAAAAAATGATTGCCAACAACTGCACTTTTCAGTGAGACAAGAATGTGATCAAAACGATGGAAACCTCAGGGATCGCACATCATGTCAGCGTACTTGCCAGACAGCAATCAAATCTTCATGTAATGTACCAGAAAAACCACTGTCAAAAAAACCACAGTCAATTTGTATTTGGTTATGAAGCATCTTGGTTGTTCTCAACTTTAGGAGTATGATGTTTCATCTGCCGTATGTCCTAGAAAGTTTGTTGGACAAGAGCACTGAATAGAAAAAGAAAAACAAGCCTCTGACATCAGTCTTGAGACAGATAATTCAAACACAGATGATGCACTCCAGAGCACAGATACTACTGAACCCTCTTAAGTCCCAGTTTTGTATTAGGCTCTAAACTATATTCTGGGGTGGGGAGTAATAGGTTTAAAGGAGGGAGAACTAAAATAATTGTCTTTAGGGTTGCTTATTTCAGCTTAGTATGCAAAAGTTTCAGCTTTTCTCTGCAACCTGAAGTTGCCTAATAAACTTGCAAAGGAAGGGCTTACTGTCCCCTCTGCCTCCCCAAGCATTGCTGTAGATATTGCACATACATTACTTAAGTTAACCTTCATGACAAATCCATGGGATAGATAGTACTAACTCCTTCAAGAAGATTTAAAAACAGGCATCAGGAGACTACAGAACCTATTTAGGTGAGAATTGAACACAATCTGTGTTACTAAAACCTATATGTCAATCACTCTAAGGATTTAACTGCCAAACCCTCTGCCAACAGGAAATATAAACGATGCTGTATGATTGGTCAAAATCCTAGGCAGCATAATCTGAAAAAGGTATTTCTAATATATATAATATGATGCCTTTTATGTATTAATTCAATGACATGCCCATAGAAAAGAAGCAGCCTAAAACATTGGAATCTTGTAAGATTTAGCTATGCCAATTTTCACAAACACAAGTAGAACAGATAACAATTACCTTAGCTATCTATGTTCTTTTGCAAGTAGTGAACCTTCCATGAAATCATTCACATTGTTACCCTACTTGGCCTTTTGACTCAGCAAGGAGGCATGCGATCTATGTGTCTGAAGGAGAAAGCAAACTACAGTGTAGTTGATGAGCCGTGACCACTGCTACCAGGTTCGTCTCTCTTAGATTGTTTTGGTTTGGGAGAAAAAGGCAGCACATGCCACTCTTGTTACCAATACCCGGTTATGTGATTGAAATAAAAACCACCTGTTACTATGTGAGGACCTAGGGAACTGCAGCAGTATGGAGGTAGAGGAATAGTAAGAATGAAATGAATTGGGCCAGGTGCAGTGGCCCATGCCTATAATCCCAGCCGTCTGGGAGGGATTAGGGTAGATTGCCTGAGCTGAGTTCAAGACCAGCCTGAGCCAGAGTGAGGCCTCATCTTTAAAACAAATAGGCAGCGTGGTGGTGGGTGCCTGTAGTCCCAGGTACTTGGGAAGCTAAGACAAGAGAATTGCGTAAATCCAAGAGTTTAAGGTTGCTGTGAGCTGCGATGCCATGCCACTCTACCCAGGGCAACAAAGTGAGACTCTGTGAAAAAACAAACAAACAAAAAAGAATAAAATAAATTTACACTAGGATGATTTCAGTATATGATTCAGTATATGAGAGAAGTTTGGAAACCCAAACCTACAAAACTTGTCATTTCTGGGTAGCACAGTTAAGGTGCCAGAAGTTTGGGTCAGCTCACTGCCACTAGCTCTTGCATAAAAGGTTTCCAGTGAAGTACTAAAAGATCCTAGAAAGTCATGCTTACTGAACCATCATCATCACTGTCACCATCCTGCGTTATGTAATTTATTATCTTTCATTAAATCTGTATCCCTTGGCTCAGTAAAGTATCCTACAACATATAGTATCTGTGGGGCTTCACTGTCTCATTGCTGTGGTCTTCACATGCACAGGCATTTGTTTACCTCTTTGGTCTTCTTCATTAACAATATTCATCAACTGACAGGCTTTACATGCTCAGTAAAATCCTTTGGACAATGAGCGAGAGTGAACCAACAAAAGCTTTATTAGTGGCTTCAGAAGTGAATTTTAAAAACATTTTCTTGTCTCTCCTAACCTCATCCACTTGAGTGGCCTAATTTCTTTAATGGTACATAGAGCACAGTGCATTTTCCTTTGAGAAACAGAAGAAACACTCATGCTTTGTAATGACATCGGTATAATGAGGAGTTAAGCCAGCACGTGTCCATTGCTGTGAGGTTTCCATTTTGTGCCTTATTTTTCACTTTCAGTAATTTTATTTAAGAATAGATTGTAAAAGGAACATCGGACATCTCTAAGGAGTGGATGGGTTTCATTCACATGTCAAAGGATGGGGCAGGGAAAGTGTTTCCAGTGCCCCTGAAATCACACAACTGAAAGAAGCACTCACCTGCCAGTGACTAACTGCCTGGCGCTGTTGAGGGGGGACAGGCAGAGACAGAAAGTGGTTCTCACTCAAAGCACTTACACCTCAACTTCCAAATGGCACCCACAACATCCTTTCCATGCAGCAGGCTCCTTTGACATTAGAAGAAATATCACCGATGCCAGCCTGCAATACCGGCATCTCCAGGCAGGGCATCTGCTGTGTGCTGTGGCGGCACAGGGTGGAGACAAGAAAGGTTTAACATTTTTCATTAGTGTATGCCATAGACAGTTGAACTCCATTATAATGTCTGCAGGAAGAATCTGATCCATTCCATTATCGCAGTGACAAAGAGAAAGGATGGCTTGTGATTTCAGAAAGGTCAGACTGAACTGTTATTCAGCTGTAAGCACTCAAGGTATGATGAAAATAATGGGAGAAAGGCTTTAAAAGATGAAGTTTACAGTCAGACAAAAATTAACATTTAAAAAGGAAGTCTTATCTATGAGCTATCCCTATTCCTCTCTATTTCTCTCCCCTAGAAATTGCTGGTTGCTAGTGTATTTATATATAAATATGTTCTTTCTTCTTCAAAAATTCATATCTGCTGTCTGATTATTTCTGTGCTGAAGTGTTAGAAGGAGATGCCTGTTGCTATGGGAGTGATTGTGATGTCACTTCCACAATTATGGAAGATAATCGTTTTATTGTGTGATTAAACAAAAGAAGGAAATGAATTGGGAAGGAAAGCAGGTGGCTTATCTGTGTTTCTGGCTACAAGCAGCTAATTATTAATTCCTGTGGCAATCTTGGGAATAATGTTAATCATAAGGAAACATTTAGGGTACAAAGGTACATGGGGTGTGATATGTAGTTGCAATGGAATACACATTTTACAATGACACGTCTATAATAGTGTCTGAAAATTACCTATATGCTTAAGAACATTATCAGTGTGACAATAAAAATAAGATAACTAGCTGCTCCCTCCTGAAAGCCTCTATAATTAATAAGAACCACTGCCATGTGTGTTTACCCTCACCCATCTACTCGTTTTTTTGATGTACAGTTTCTATTGTGACAAAACTTGCTTTCCCTACATGGATTATAGGAAATAAGTCTTAGAATTATTTAGAGCAAACATTTCCCCATCTCTTCACTTTACACCTTTATCTTCATCACAGACTTTTTAAAAAAATCTTTTTAATTTAATAGTCAGGAAATACTATCTGAATTGAATCTCGTGCTAGATATTCCAGACTGTAGCCTTTAACATGATCCAGTTACATCTATGTACACTGAAGCCTCTACTCAATTAAAATCAACAGAAACTGTTAGCACTGTTTGTTGCAATCAAATTGAATCTTATATTGGACACCTCACCCTAAGTCTAACCCTCAATATTTTCTCCTAATTCTAACTTCCAGTATAACTCTAATACTACCAGTTTATCTTACATGAAGGATATACATATGCTGTACCCTAATACCTGATCAGCATGTAACTTTCTACTCCATTCCTTTGACTTTTGTCCAATATTTTCATAAATCCTTGATCTTGCCATCCTTGTCCTGTACTGCTATAACCAGATACTCTCCTAAATTATATCCCCCCAATGAAACACGTAGTAATTCTTTTTTTGCCTAAAAGAATTGCCTAATTTTCAAGTTGTACTCCTGAAATTTTCCTTAGTACTCATTGTTCCAGAACAATATTTAATATTGTGAACAAATTCTCCTTTTCCAGTCCTTTTTTATTTTCTTGGATTTTTGTGGTACCATTCTCTCCTTTTAACTTTCTGCCATCCCTGGTTGTATTTCCTCACTATTATTTTATTGTATCATACTCAAAATATATGCAGTATTTATCATCGGGTATTTAATCAAAAGTATTTACAGTATGTTTTTCTTTCTTTCTGCTCACTCTGTCCATTTTGCATAGGAAATGGGATTTATATGTTGCTAATTTCATAGTTACAACTACCATATATTTTCCAAAATGATGTAAATCATTAGTATCAGTATCTCAAACTCAAGTGTCTTAATTATCTTCTGACTTCATACTTAGCCATCACTACTCGAGTATTCCACAGTCATCTTTTATCTAACTTAGCGCCAATATAAATCATTCATTTATTAAGGTCTTGGCTTTTCCCATGTACAAAACTTCCTTAACTTAGTAATTTTCTATTCCAGTTCGTGACCAACATATATAAAGATCATCAGGACCCACTAATTTCATATCCTATAAATTCTGACTCAAAAATATTTCCCAAATAATTCTTTTTTCCATTCTTGATTTTCCTGCTATTATTCTCATAATCATTTCATGCTATTTGATGTTCTAACTGGAATTCTCATGTCTACTCTGTCTACCTCTCAACAAAGAACATCTCTTAACCCATGTGATTATTCTTTCAAAAAACAAATATAATTACTTTATTCATTCTTCATGAATCACCTGAAGATTGACCAAGCTGGATAGTTTAGCAATACAGGGTGGGCATAAAGTTTATGTGCAATATAAAGTTATTGCAATTTAAAGTTACAACTATTTTAAATTGTACACAATTTTTACATCCACCCTATATGTATTAAAAGCCTTAAATTGTTCCCTATTAATTATACACTTAGTAAAATCTCCTTAGGAAAAATGGTACAAGTTAACAATTATATACTTAGAAAAAACATCTACCAAATTGTTATTTTGATATCAAAAATTATCCCCAAATAAAGACTGCTTAGTAATGTATGACAGTTCTGTATAATGGAATATTGTATAAACCACGAAGATGTTTTTTATATTTCTATGTTTTTCTTTTCTTTTACAAACATTCACAATATATTTTAATGTTATATCACTATAAAAAATTTGGCTCTGGCCAAGACAAAGTAATAAGAAACTAACTTACCCTTTTACCTAAAACACCTAAAAACTCAGACAAAATATATAAATCTATCATATTGTATACCAGGCAAAGAAAAATGTTCGATGAGAAACAAGAAACAGAAGAAATGAGCCCTTCGATTGTCTTGGCTCATTGCCTGAATCAATTTTTCAGGATTAAGTATAAGGGAAGTAAAACAAGTTGTACCCCTGAAGTTTTCCTGAGCAGAATAGGAGGTAGGAAGTAGGCTAAGACAGGCAGATTTAACATGAAAAAGGGCTAGGAAAGATTCACAGAAGGAAATTTAGAGTTCTGGGTTTCTCTTAAGTTTTTAGCCCAGTACTGAGTGCCCTGTAGATATGAAAAACTGATACTGATGAAAAGTCTGAGACACTCAAACAGACCTTAGAATTTTCACAGGCCTGGAAATCATTCCTACTAAAACCAGCCATGTTGGAAAAATCTCACAATTCAAGGAAAAATGATGAGAAAGCCTTTGGCACAATGAGGAAAGATTTGCCTCAGTATTGAGGAAACAATAAGTACTAGAATAAATGATGCTCTGATTCCACAATCAAGGCTTAAAAGTGGGGACTTAAAGGACTGGACAGTTTACAGGTAAATATCTGTATTTCAGAACAAAGCTCAAGAATATAAAGCATAAAATGGATAAATATAAGACTAGCTAGGACTGGGGGCTCATGCCTGTAATCCCGTCCCTGTGAGAGGCTGAGGCAGGAGAATTGCTTGAGCTTAGGAGTTCAACACTTCTTTGGATGAGAGTGAGATCC